GTTGGATAAGATGCATATTTTTGGGCAGACACACACACACTGAACACACTATACTATATATACATAGATAGACATATATATATATATACACACACATATATATATATATATATATATATATATATATATACGTATGTGTATATATATATATATATATAGATGTGCCTTCACACTTCTTGGTCAATACATATAATATACATATTTATGTACAAACACACTCACATGTGTATGTATATATATATATACACGCACGCACATTGTTTGTAACCTGACGGGTGGCTCCAAAGAGCATGGTTCCTGACATCAAGGTTGGGGTGCATCATGTAGGGCCAGCTGAGTGCTCAGAGCCACTGCACAAATTGTGGATGCAGGCGAACAGCCGTTTGGCCGCATGTCACGTTGCTCACAGGGTGCATGGTTTCGAGAAATCGAGGCTGCCGCGGGGTTTGCGGGTATGTTGCCGATGCAACGCCGAACTGCTGAGGCACTACCCTGGTGGCTGTGGGCCTTCAGGATGGCAAGCTAGCAGTCTTTGATGCAGACTGAAGTGGCTGCGGTGTAGCGGCGTGGGCAAAAAGAAAAGTACTGTGCAGTACCACCTTGTAGGACATTATGAATCAATTCTGAGGGTCTTTGCAGAACAGACCTGAATCATTTCCCCTCGGCAACCTTGTCTACGGCAATCTTTTTAGTTGATCATTGATTTGTGGAGTTGGTCGGCTTATCGCATGTTTCTGGCGATTCCGAGCGCGGTAAGTAGGTAAGCAAGTACGCACGTAAGTAAGACTATATGGTAAGTAAGCAAGTATAGTGAAGGACGGAGCACGGAGGGAGCAAACAAGTTAGTTGGTTTCTAGACATTTAGGTAACGACAAGTAGTTGGTCATGGTTCGTTTTGCATTCGTTCGTTATGCGTCACTCAGTCAGTCAGGCGGTCAGGCACGGAGGGAGGGAGCAGGAAGGGAGCGAGCGAGCGAGTGAGTGGTCTCCTTGTGTTTTTGAACACTCAATTTGTTCCCAACCGTCGTCGCAAACAATCCTCCAATGTGGATTGGCCTGGTGCATACGATCCAGGTCAGGGCTCCGGTTTCGATCCAGAATCTTCACTACGTCCTACTTGCAGCGCTCGTGCTCAAGGTCGCCACTGACACGAAAGGAAGCCTGGCCACCACCATCCAAGCTGGCCTCTCTCCTTTGCAACCCGAAGCTGGAAGCACCTTTGGAGCATGCCTAAAGCCCCTGTCATCCCCATGATGCCGTGCAGCGGGCTCGCACCGTGCTGGGCATCCCGGGGCGGACGTCGTGCAGGTCGGATGTGCCAGGCATGTAAGAATCTAAGAGTTCAGCCCTGACTGGCCTCCAGCGAAGAGGCCCTGAACCAAGACCATGCACCAGACAAGCTAATCTACAGTAGACTTGTGCGTGTTTCACATATTTTTGAGACCTGTGGGTTTCAATGGTTCACTTGTGCTGCGTGCGCCTTGCAGCATTCAAGGCAATTTAGCATCATTCTGTCGTATCTATCAACCCTCCATCACCTGATTCGCGCGAGAGTTGCGGAACGTACAGTGCTGGCGGGGCCTGGAGAAGAGCTTTCGGATTCCTGGAAGCGCATGTTCTTCTTGAACCCGGATTCGCTTTGCAGTTGTTGTGAGAGCAGTCGAGGGTTTGCGCAAGTCTTCAGAGGCTTCCGGAGCTACAGTAAGATTTAGAAGGCGGACGTCAGGGAGACACGGTCATGACCAGCGGCCGTTTCGTGTGGACGCTAACACTCATGACATGGCCTCCGCCCTGCCATGGATTTGGGCCATGTCGCACATGCTCTGTGGCTGTGAGCAAACTGAAGGCCAACCTCTACCTGTGAACAAGCCTGCATTGCTGCTACATCAATGCACCTGGCATTCCTGGTCTTGTTGTTTCCGTTTGCACAAGCAGGTGCACCACGTATCCCCGTGCAATGGAGCTGTCGTGGTGCTGTGGACTGGCCGGCCATGCAGCAGCTTAAACGACAGATCGGCGTGATGCTAACGAGCACCATTCTTCCATCCAGGATTCTTGGGGTCAGCATGTCGGGAAGATATTTACTGTTCCTGAATCAGAACGAATGTCCTGCTGCAAGATGGACGATGGAGCTCCTGCTCGCAGAGCTAGGCATGGCGCGACAGCAAGCAGACAGCGACTTCAGCGATCTGGCCAAGGGTTTTGGACGTAATCATGTCAACTTCCCGTTCGTGACATTTTTCGGTGGCAGAAGCGAAGGTTCACTTTTTCAAGAACTGTTTTGGGGTGCCGGTCCAGCCTGGTCTTCCGTGAGTCTGGGTGGTTGGAGCACTTTTGCTTTGATCGCAAGGCTGTCTCAGGCTTTCCAAGTCTATCTGATGAAGCAAGGCCAGCCATCCAAGGAAGCTTTCCAGGAATTGCTTTCGCTGCAAAATACAACGCGACGACGTGCTGTTGCCGCACAACTGCCTGAACTCCTCGCCATTGCTCTTGCCAGATTGCAAGCAACAAATGTGACCGGGTCGTGGACAGTCCGTGCAGCAGCAGCTGCCGCAGCAGAAGGGGCATTGCGCAGGTGGTCCAAAAGAGCTCTTTCGAACGGCCTGTCACGGAGGCAGATCGCAGCATTTTTGTTAATCGACGCTCAGTCACCGGACCTTTGGAATGGACTCGACAAGGTGCTGCTGCCGGACGCCGTGCAGATTTGCCTCCCTGCGACACTCGGCTTGAAGCCGTCTGAGGTGTTCCCTCAGTGCAGGGCAAGGCATTGCACTAGGCACTGGGGCCCGGACGAAGCTTATGCCGCCACTCGTACTTCCAACCGAAGCTCTGCGAGAGGTCTGACCATGTTTCACATTGGATTGGATCGAGATGTCATGAGCGACAGCATCCGCAGCGGGTGTTTTGCCAGATGCGCTAATGCTGTGATTGACCTTCTGAAAATGGTTTCAGAAATCTTGCTGGAGCTTCCCGCCACAAGAACTTTTACCTACGTGGATGCCGGGGCAGCTCTCGGGGAGTGCATGCTGTCGTCGGCTTTGCTCTTGCCGGAAGGTCGCTTGCGGGGTTTGGCTTTCGAGGCGCTGCCAAAGTGGGCGAAGCGCCTAAGGCAGAGCCTTCGTCTCAACGGCATTTCATCTCAAGGCCATGGTACACAGGTGCTGGTCAAGGCTGTAGTCCTTGGCCAATCGGGGACGAAGCTGATTGGATCCGTGGATGGTGGCGGCTTCTACGCCAAGACTACTCACAAGGGTGGCGGAATCTTCACGGTGAGACCTTCCTCTCTGGATGACGAAATCACTGCAATCGCGTATCTCAGAAATGAAACTGACAGAATTGATTTCCTGCACATCTTCGCAAACGTTTTTGAGCCAGATGTACTAAAGGGCGCCAGGCAACTCCTGCTTAAGCGTCGTGTGGGCTGCGTGCTTGCGCAAGCACATGACCTTGGGTCTTTGAATGCGGAGATCGGCGGAGTTCTTCAATGGAATGGCTACAGAGTCAGGAACCAAACGTCATATGTGGCGGGCAGCCCTGCAGATGCCGTGGCACTTTCAGGGGGGGAGGTTTGTGACGAACGCTTCTTCCGCTGGTGGCTTCACGGAAAACATGAAGCGGGTGCCACAGGAGAATCTCGGAAACCACCGAAACAGCACAGATGCTTGGTTTTTCGTTGGACCCCCCCCAGCCCCCCTCACACTCCCAGCCCATATATGGTGCCGCATCGCCGCGTCCCCCGCCCAAGCCAGGCCTCTTGTAACATCACAGTCACACGTCATCCGTGTAAATGCACCCCGGGGGGGGGGCGGGAGGGATAACCCACAACCATGGAACCACAAGACAGCGAACCACAGGGGCGGGGTGGGGAAGGATAATCCACACAGGGAACCACAGGTCTCCTTCCCCTTCCCCTCTGTTCGACACACACATGAGAAATATGGGGATGATGTTGCGCACAATGATGTCGATGTGCTAATCCCAGTGTGGCTGTTGGTGGTACCTTTGCTCTTATGTTGCTCTGGGCTTTGGCACCACATGTTCATTGCTTTATCTAATTGAAACCGTGCTTGGCTTGTGATGTCTTCCGAAAACTGTATCGACCGTTGTCATTCCAAGCCAAATTTCGGTTGGGTTCTTTGAAAGTCAGCTTGAGCACGTGATTGAATGATTTTCATTCGGGACTCTTGAGCAAGGGACAGGAGGAGAGTGCGGATGGGGATCACACCATCTTCGTCATCATCATCACCATCGAACTCATCATTATCATTGGCTTTGGAGCTCAGGGCAGGTCGGAGTTCAATGGAACTGTATCACATCCCACGGTCCAAACCCTTAGCAACCGGACGCCCAACCAGCAATAGCCATGGAAGGGGGGCGCAGCCGACCGCAACCACAGGGGGGAGGGGCAGGAGGGAACCCATACCACAGGGGGGGAGGGGCGATACCATGGGATGGGGGGGGGAGGGGGGGCCTAGCAGCGCTGCACCATTCATCGTGCAGCGCTCCTCCCCCCCTCCATGGTATCGCCCCCCCCTGCCTCTCCTCTCCAAAGCCAATGATAGTGATGGTGATGATGATGACGAAGATGGTGGTCATGATGCCCATCCGCACTCTCCACCAGTTTCGTGCTCAAGAGTCCCGAATGAAAAACATTTAAACGCGTGCCCAAGCTTACTTTTGACGAACCCAACCGAAACTTGGCTGGCAAAGACAACAGTCGTTACAGTTTTCGCAAGAACATCACAAGCTAAGTACGATTTTCCGATTTTCCATCAGCCACACTGGGAATAGCAGATCAATGTCATTGTGCACACCATCATCGCCATCATTCTCATTTGTGTGTCGCCGGGGAGGGGATGGGGAAGGCGCCCTGCGGTTCCCTGTGTTGTGGGTTATCCTTCCCCACCCCGCCCCCGTGGTTCCCTGTCTTGTGGTTCCGTGTGTTGTGGGTCATCCCTCCCGCCCCCGCTTCCGTTTGCTAAGGCGGGAGGCGGGGGGCA